AAAGTTGTTAAATAAAAGTACCAAAGCAAGTTTTCACCTACAGTGACAGAGTTAGAAGGATAAAGACAGAAGATATTCACTCTACTATTTCTGGGTGAAAATTGTTCTAACAGCCCCTACACACACTTTTATTGTGTTTACTCTTCTTTAAAAGAATGTTCCACAGCCTTAGCTTAGAATAACTATGATTCTTTTTCTTTCCCCTAGAGATACTAGATAAATGGCTATAACGGACAGAAGCACTTTGTTCCATGACCTAAGACCATGTTCAGATACACAGGTTACTAAAAAGGTCATACCGATACCCAGGTACAGGACTCTAAGTCGTGTGTGTGAATAACAATTGGTCTCAAAAATCAATAAAATGCAAGGCTAGTGACAAAGGTGAGGCAGCTGGAGTATAATAACATGGTGACCGGCCTTGGAGCAAGTGAGTTGTTGTATATGAGAATTCTCTTCAAATGAACTGTTTGATTAGGTAGTCTAGTTAGTTCCCAGAAGCGAACAGGATGCCAGGATACCAGTCAATAAGCTTGCACATCACCAGCTTCCAAGAATTCTGTGATAAAAGAAACTTAGAATGCTTTCCCAATCACCGAAATAGATATTAGGTTCTAAAATGTGAGCAAAGAAATGAGAATTGGGGGAATTTCTGTTTTGCCCTCTCCTACCAACTACTGCGAGGTCTTTATGAAGCATTTTTAACCTCATTGTATGTTGGTTTCTTAATATGTATGATGAAAATGATAATGTTGAACAATTCCGGAGGGCATGGCAATTAACTAGCATTTATAAAATGCTTTAAAGAGAGGTACCATGTGAGAGCAAATGATTTAATGTAAACCAATAGATGGCTTATGAGCATACCATCTGAATGAGAACCGTATCCACTGAAATAGCTGGATGTGATCAAAGAGACAGCTGGAATTTAAAAATAAAAGTTTAAAAATCTGGCAATTAATCCAGAATTCTCAGGACATACAGATAGCTAATTACCAGGACTCTGCTCTTCAGAGCACATTGTAACAAGTTATGTTTTATTTTGATCATTCTTTTCAGTGGTTTGGCTTCCATCCACAGAAGAAAGAACAAAATAAAATATCATCCAATCAATCAGTTGCAATAATCACCATATTCCCCAAAAGTGATTAAAAAAATATATATATACATATATATCTATATATATATATCAAGAGAAAGCTGAAGTGGGTGAATAAGAGAGGAACCTGTGGTATGGAAGATAAATACAAAATATACAAAAAGAAGAAATACATGGCTTCCTGTTTAAAGCAAATGCCTAAAGGTAACATAGAGAGGATGTAGAGCTCACAGCTCTGCTTAGCAACTAACGCACACGCTCAAATATGACTCGCGGTGTCAGTAGATTGGTCCAAATAAGCTGAAGGGAAACAGTCTGTAGATACCTTGTCCTGAATTTTTTTTTCTTTTTACCTTTATACTATTTTGGATTCACTGGACCTTGTGAGTGTCCTCCATCAGTTCTGGAAAATTCTCAGACATTTTCTTCTTAAATACTGCACAAATCTCTTTCTCTGTCTTTTCCTCCTAGGATTTTAATTAAACATGTGTTAAAACTTCTCACTCTGTTTGGAATGTTTCATAATTCCATTTTAGGATTTTTATCTTTTTTTTCCCTCCTGTTCTATGATATGCATTTAAAGTCTTCTATTTTCCACTTTACTAAGTGTGAAGCTCAAGTGTATAATATTGGTAGGTCCTCTTGGGTTCCCGTCATTTCAATTTTAACAATAGTATTATATGAACCTGACACTGTGAAATGAATCGTGCATATATTTTTATCGTATACATCAAAAGTGAGATGCTGTTGAGAATCAGTTATGATAAAATGTAAAATGTACCCCAATTTCAGAAATTTATAATGAAAAAAATGTTTGTCTTAGAGTCAATGAGCAATGGAAATGCCCACAGAAGTACGTCCCCTTCCATCCTCACTTTTTCTAACTCTGATAATACCTTCTAAGGAAAAATACAGTTAAGACATTTATAGAAAGCATCCAAAATCATGAAATAATAGATGTAGGACTTCTTATCCCTTGCCCTCTACTTCTGTGATTCATTTCCAGGCAGCTCATATTTTAAGCATCCTCCTGCTTTGTGCTAATTTCTCCACCTGACAAAGCCTTAATCAATTCTCATCACAATAATGCATCTGCTCCATAGGTTCTGTGGTATTTTTCATACTTCAGCCCTTGCCACACTAATCTAAAACTGGTGTATTCATAATGAAGAAATTTCTGGCAGTTGGAATATGTGGGAGCACCTAACTAGGGAATGAGGAGACCTGGTGTGAGCAAGTCATATTATAGAGGAGACAACGTCACTGCTCCCTCATAGAAGCCAGTCGATTAGAGATAATGTCTAATCTCTAACCGTAGAGATAAATGTTGCTGTTCTATCAATACTGGCATGGTTAATGATTACTTGACCATAAATAAGAAGTGATATTTTCATTTTTTTAAGTACATAGATTTCCTGGTCAAAATACTTTTCCAACACACATTTCTCCCTCACTGTTCTATCAAACTGTCCAAGGAGGGGAAAATCATTACCTAAACTCTTGAGAAAACTATTTCATAATAAGACAACAAAAATAAATGACTTATATATTATTATGTATGTGTAACAATGTATAAAGTACAATCACAATTTTAAAGAGCTTTCATATCAGCAACAGGGCACTGTTAAAATGAGAAAGCCTTTAATTATGTTGTAAAGGTCTGGTATTCCAGGAAAAGGTCACTTCAAAATAAACTTCTAACAGTTAATTATCAGTGATATTTAACTTGTACAAAAATTAAATATCACCATATAATCCTGTGATCATTTTATTGCTTTTGTAGACATTTCAATATTTTAAGGGTTCTCAAGAAATAATGGAAAAGGCTTGCTGCTGAGCCCAGTTCTTAGCTTTGTATGAAAAACCAAATGAAATTCTTGTGCTTGTTATACAAATAGATCTTTAAAAAACATGAAAAAATAGTACTGATCCCCAAGAAATAAACAAAATCATACAGTGTACCTTAAGTTATTAAATTCCCAAGAATTGGTTTTAAATTCCCAAGAATGATCCTAATGAAATACGATACCATTTTAAAAAAGTAGAATTCCCCAGTTCCTATCACAGCCTTGCTCGAATCATAAATGATTATAAGAACTGATAACAGCTATGACAAAGTGAAATTCTGTGATTTAAATTTAAAATCTAAGTAGCAGTTGCATACTTTCTCAGTTGAAGTGATAAATACTGCATACTATAAACCTTATACATACAATATAAAGATTATGTAAAGTATAGTATGAAAGGAAAATCATAGAAACTTGTGTTGAGAAGAGTGAAAGACAAAAATATCTTATTGGTTTGAATATTTACTAAGAATCTGGTTACTAGCCAAACTGAAACAGATTAGTATAGAGTCACTTTATCTTATGCATGGCCTGGCAGGAGGGTGTCACCAGAGCTTATACTTCCTGTACTCCTTTGTCAGCTTCTCGTGGAAACAGTGATTCCTGATTCTCATCTATACTCAAGTGTAAATTACATAGTCAAAATTATGGTTTGTCCAAAGACATGAAATATTTCTAGGATAAAATATTGTGAATTCACAGCTATAAAGTTGAGATGTCCCTCATTTAAATATCTCCCAATTTTCTTTTTTTTAAAATATTTTATCTATTTATTCATGAGAGACACACAGAGAGAAAGAGACACAGGCAGAGGGAGAAGCAGGCTCCCTGCAGGTAGCCTGATGTGGGACTCAATCCCAGGACCCTAGGATCATGCCCTGGGCCGAAGGCAGATGCTCAATCACTGAGCCACCCAGGGGCCCCTATTTCCCAATTTCCTTACTCACGGCAGTGGTGATATTACTAGATGCCTATGTCCCCTCTCATATAGCTCTGAACACCTATATAGCAGTCAAAGAAGAAAGCGTATAAGGAGTGTATGGATATCCTGTTGCACTGCTTTTATTTTTAAAAAGCGGATTCTATAACAATATGTAGATTGAATAAACCCCTTTGTTTGTGCTCACAAAGTCCCTTTTCTTTTCTTTTCTTTTCTTTCTTTTTTTAATAATAAATTTATTTTTTATTGGTGTTCAATTTGCCAACATACAGAATAACAAGGTCCCTTTTAATTTTAATGATTCCAGCCTTTGTTCAGTAATGTTGTATAGAGTAGCTTTGGAGTAAAATCCATGCCTCCGAGCCCCACCTCTCTATCACTGATGTATGCCAGTGGTAATAAACTGGTTTTGGTTCAGCACGACTGCTCAAATATTTTTTTACGAGAGTATATCAGTATTTGTGAGCACTTAAAAATGGCAATTTGTGGGGCACCTGGGTGGCTTAATTGGCTGAGCATCTGACTTCAGCTCCGTTGGTGATCCCAGGGTCCTGGGATGGAGCCCCTATGAAGTCCTGGCAGTGTCGAGTTCCTCACTCGGAGGGGAGTCTGCTTGTACCTCTCCATCTCCTTCTGCCCCTCCACCTGCTCGTGCTTTCACTGTCTCTCTCTCTCTCAAATAAATAAATAAAATATTTTTTTAAAAAGTGTCAATTTTGTGTGTATTAAGAATATAGGAAAGAATATAAATAGATTTTTAAGGCACTTAGGATGGATAAAGAGGATGTTAGCTAAAATCACGCTGAAGTTAAAATGAAGTTTAAACCTCAAGACGTATCCAGGGGAAATTTTTCTGTAGTTTCTAGCTAATAATCATCCATCGAAGTGTTTAGAATATGAGGAGAGTAATTCAGTAAGACATTTGAGAAATGTGGGACTATAGTCTTGGGCTGAGGATTCCAGAGCTGAGATTAAAATTCAAAATTTTGTTCATCGTTGACCCCTCTATTTAGAATATATCCAATTGCTTTCTTGATGTCTTTGATAAGGTTTGGCAAGTTGGAGAAATCCTTCTGATAATTTAACTTATTTAGGGTTTGAGAATACCTATTGGGTGTGCTTACTTTGACACCTATACTAAGAAATTGGAAGGCTACACAGAAGATTAGCATGGCCCCTGTGCAAGGATGACAGGAGAATATCTATTGAGCAATAGGGATCTCCTCCTTCCTTTGCTAAAACCAGGGAGTGAAGCCAAGCATGACGATACCAACAAAACTTACATTTTTCACCTTTTTCATTTTTTAAAAATTTCTGTTTCTTGGGTCTAAGGAATGGGAAGAAGAGACAAGCATATCAAAAGCATAATAAGAAATCAGTGGATATTGGTATTTCTTAACATTTGCTTTTCTCTCTAGCATGCTGTCAAAGAATATTAGAGAATATTGGTAACTGAAGGGAAATTCTTTCAGTACAAATAGCTTTATAGAGTTTTATAGACAACCCAGATGTAGATGGACAAAGGGAAAGGGAAAACATGCTAACCAAACTGTTCTCGTAGATAAGATTTCAAAGGGCTTTTTACTGTCTGTTGCTTCCATTTTTGTTTTATGTGAAATTTTATTATAAACGTATGCATTATGTAGCCATTTTGTTATTTTTTTCCCTTTTAATTGTCAAGACAATACTTTAAGAGAGGTTCATAGTAAATTATGTGTTACATATATATAGATATTTGTTTTATAGACAGAATCAAGCTCTACCTATCAATTCATATTGTTTTCTTAACCAGCTTAAAAATGCAAAGAACTTACCATCACACACTAGGAATATGTAATACATGCACATGTAGATCTACCTCATTTCTCTAAATTTTCATGTAGGAGCCCATATGGATATTCTATATCCATTGAAATCCATTCTGGATTTCAGTAAATACCGTAATAACAGGTAGCTGCAAGAATTGATTTTAAATACGTTCAGCCAAGCAGCCACTTGCCTCTGCAAACATGCTTTTGCAATTCAGCCAAGCAGTGATAGACAAATCCTGCGTGTTGGCCAGTCAAGAGTGGGCTCATTCTAATAAACACACTTGCAAGCACAAGCCACTCCAGAACAATCGCATTTGAGTAACTGGGCTTGTGTAGATAGTAACAACCCATGTATAGCCCCAGAAATCCATCAAACCCTATAGTGATAGAGTGGATTTTACTATATGAATATTAAAAATAAATTTTAAACCATGCCACAAGTCATTAATATATTGGTGTTGATTTGTCCTTCGGTTGACCACTGGAATCCCTTTCTGGTTCTTCCTATATCATTCTAACGTGTCTCTATCATTTTTTAAAGAATTTCCTTACTTTCTGGCATAATTTGATGTTCCGGGGTTACCATGTAATATCTCTGATCAGCACGAAAATCTGATCTCTTCAGGGATCCTTGGTTCCTCTTGGTGTGGAAAATTGTTTTAAAGATCATAACCTTATCATGATTTTTTCATAGCTACTAGTGTCATTGTGTTGGGGCTCTTATATCAGATAGGAATTTATACTGTATATTTATATTATACATCATGTATTCATGTTATATTTCACATATATACCCACAAATACATAATTTTATGTTATTTTTCATGAATTCATAGTGACAACTGTAGCTCCAATGTAGCCTGCTACCTGAAAGTGTTCTTTATGTGGGGACCCATCCCATGTGTATCTCTCTTCTCCTGTGTGAGAACCACCCTGATATCCACAAAAATATATTTCCTTATTTCTTCAGTTCTACAATAATCATGAAACATAGTTTCAGAATTGCTGCAGCTATAGCATTACCATCAATTACCACCAGTGATCTACTAATTAGAAGAGAATATTTTTCAGCTCTGCTGTTGTATTAGACTAAGAAAGCATAATCTAGGTTAAATATATAAAAGGTTAAATTATTTTTTTCTTCTTTGTGGGTATGCTCATTTTGAAAGATAATTAGGGCAATAGTATCAAAGGATGTGCTTAATTCAAAGTATCTGCACCTATAGTCAAATCTGTAAATGTTCTCCTGTTGATCATGTTACTGACCGTTTTATCTTGCTTGAAGATTGATTCATATTTTTTAATTTGATAGAAATAAAGTTTTTTTCTGCTTAAACAAACAGATGTTATTTCAATAGTTGGTTTAAAAGGGAAAGACGTGTTTCCAGAGTGGATTAAGGGCATGATAGAAATCACCACTGTAAAGAAGTAGTGATATAAAGGAATCCACTAAAAAAAATAAAATAAAATAAAATAAAATAATAAAGGCATCCACTAGAATAAAATGAAAGCCTTCCTAAAGTAAAAAAAAAAACAAAACAAAACAAAAAAAAAAAAACAGTATAAACATAAGAATTCTGACAAGGTGAAGTAAAACAAAAACAATTTAATGGGCAGTAAGTATTAAATGATAAAGTAAGGTTAACAATATCAGACATATGCATAAATATGATTGGGTTTAATGACCCATTAAATGAAAACATTTAAAATTGTTTCACAAAACAACACCCTATGTGTTGTATAAGAAACAAACTGAAACAAGCAGCTTCAGAAAGGCTACAAATGAAGAGAGGGGCAAAGATATACTAGAGAAATGAGAAGACACTAGAAATAAAGATACACTCATGTTTCAAAAAACATGAGAAGCCGGGGTCACCATTCTGGTATGGCCAAACTCGTCATAACCATAGGAAATAAATTTGGAAAAATGACCCTTCATAATACTTATTACACTACTACTTTATATAATGCAATTCAACAAGTGAATTATATACAATTCAAAATAAAACATTTTAGAATATCTCTGCGACAACATGGCAACCACTCCAAGTATAAACTATTTAGTTCCAGTAATTTGAACATTGAAATATTCTCTCTGTCTCCTAGTCATGCTAAAAGCATGGATAATGTGTGGATTTCTTTGCTCTTGTTGTTCACTTACACATGCTTTTTGAGGAGACATTTCTGTGCACTTTGCCTAATACTTATACAGAAATTTAACTCTATAACGTACTTCTTCCTTTTATTCTTTCATAAGCACAGTGCGTAGGGATCCCTGGGTGGCGCAGCGGTTTGGCGCCTGCCTTTGGCCCAGGGCGCGATCCCGGAGACCCGGGATCGAATCCCACGTCAGGCTCCTGGTGCATGGAGCCTGCTTCTCCCTCTGCCTGTGTCTCTGCCTCTCTCTCTCTCTCTCTGTGACTGTCATAAATAAATAAAAAAAAAAAATTAAAAAAAAAAAAATAAGCACAGTGCGGTAGGCACAATTGTCTTTCATTCAAAGATGAAATAGTTTCCCTGAGCTCTCAAGAATATTTATACTCCTCCACAAGTCAAAAAACTCTTTTCAAAATTTCAGAGTCCAACTTTGCCATAACATCGAAGTTCTTGGATACACAAATGAATATAGGTAAAATATCTGACACCCCATTACAAAGGCCACGACATTACAGCTGTAATAATAAATATAATTTGGTGATGAATGGAAATCACCATTTGAAAGAGAGCTTTGCTGAGTTTGGAAGATGTATTTGGCAAAACTTTAGAAATTAAAAGAAAGAAAATTAAAATAATTTTAATTTTATATTGCTTATCGTTGGGTGATCACTTATGTATAAAATTATAGTTTATTATGGCTTCATTCTTTTGAAACTAAGAGGAAATACTGAAAGAAAAGGAACAATGTAGCATGAAAGGATTAATATTTTCAGAACAATTTATTCATTATGTATCATCAATATATCTTGTGCATTATGCAGTGTATTTTGGATTTCTCAAGCTCTGTAAACCAGTAGTTTTGTTTATAGAAGACCCGATTGCTCTCTCCCCTAATTTTATGTAAACAACAACTCAAATCACTTAAACTCACTTTTAATTCCCTACATTTCATGTCTGCCCCTGTTCTTCTCAGTTCCCATCCTGATATAATTAAAGGAATGGTAATAAATATGTCTCTGATAAATATTTTGTTCAACATTTCAGGTTTGCTTGGTAAATTTGGTATTTGTAGTTTATGTTCACTCAACTGTAGAATCCAGAAACAAATATTTGCCAGTATTCTCAGAGAATTAAATATTGAAAAATGACGGATTCTAGGGGAGACTTTCAGGTTTCTTTTTTTATATTGAAATATTGCATAAGTATATATGTGCATAACATCTAAAAACACAAATTGATAAATAGATGTAAGGAAAACATCTTTGTAATTACCACATAGAAAAAAATATAATAGAGAAATAACTTCAGTGCCTTTCACTTATTATAACTTTCTCTACTTCTGCGGAAATCAGTTTTTTGACATGCATTATTTATCTGCTTCCTTTTATTCCTACTTTAGCAACCATGTAGCCTTCTCTAAATAATATAGTTCAATTTTGCCTTATTTTTGAATTTTATGGAATTGGAATCACGATGCATGTATTATTTTGTGCTTTTTTTACATTCAATTTTTGTTTTAAAGATTCAGTTACGGTGTGGCAATTAGATATAATTTTGCATTTTTATTTCCTATAATGTCCAGTGGTTTGACATGTATTTATCTAGATATTGTGAAGGAGATACAGGTGGATTTCATTTAGCCAAATATAAATAAGGCTATGTTTCAGTTAACAGTATTTGCCCTAGTGTTAAGTGAATAAATTGCCCTGTGTTACATTATCTATGAGTGGAAATCTAGCATCATACCACTTGTGTCTTCAACTGTACTTGATAATGGTAAACATTTTTCAAAGTGGTTTTAACCAGTTCAGTTCCCCTAAAATTGTAAGCTTTTTTTAAGATTTTATTTATTTATTCAGAGACACAGTGAGAGGCAGAAACACAGGCAGAGGGAGAATCAGGCTCCCTACAAGGAGCCTGATGTGGAACCCGATCCCAGGACCCCTGGATCACACCCTGAGCCAAAGACAGACCCTCAACCTCTGAGACACTCAGGTGTGTTCCCTTATTAGTCTATTTCCTATTTGTTATTTTAGCTGGCATTTCCAGATGTCCCTTTCTCTGCCTAAGAAAGTACTTTGTTTTTGTATTAATAGATTAATTTTCAACAGTGAGCGTGAAAATTGTTTACAAAGAAAGCTCTTGATTTGGGAGCTTGCAATTTATATCCCATTAGTTACAAAGATAAAAGTGTATATGTGACTACGATTAATTCTGTAGCCAGCGATGCCCCATAATTTAAAATTTATTTAGA